GCCCCCGCGGCTGAGCCAGGAAGGAGCCTGTTCCCGCCAGGCCAGCCCCCAGGAGCCCACGGCGGGTTTGGCGTCCTCACGGGTGTTTGTGCTCACAAATATGTACCCACATGCACTCGTGTGTCCGCACATGTGACGTGTGTATGGGTTGAGTGGGACCCATCACCTGACAGCCCCATCAGTTTTTCTCCGTGAAAGCAGCCCCCGCCCCCCATCCTTCCCCAGGGCCCGGGACCCGGGGGCGGGCGTGTTATTGGGCAGATCCGCCCAACCAGCGCCAGCCATGGCGGCTCCAGCCCCAGACCCGGGTGCCTCGCTTAGGAGGCCCGGAGCCGGTGGCGTGGCTTCTTCTGGGGCCACGCTCATGGCTGGCAGGTGCCGTCTCGCTGCGTCCCCCACGTGGTCATCCCTGTGTCCGTCCTGGCGTGTCTGTCCTGACCCATCTCCTTAGAAGGACAGCAGTTGGGACAAGGGCCTTGCTTAGTGGGCTCAGCCCTCACCGCTCTGCGGGCGGGGCCGCCTGCGCAGGGTCACGGGGAGGGCACCGCAGCCAGTGGGAGGCTGATCGCTGTGCCCAAAGCTCCGGGTGCTCCTAAGCCTTGGGGGACCCCTGTCCCCGGAGACCAGCTGCCTGTGTGGACTGACACACCCTGCTCTGGCCGCCACTGATGGTCTCCATGTCGCCTTCAGGACGGCCGTGAATGCCCAGTCGGGGGTGTGCACCCCTGCGGGGGGCCTGGTGACAGGTGAGCCCCCACACACTGCACCCCCGTGTGCTGAGGCCGTGACATGGGAGGAAGGGGCGGGAGGACCACAGTGCAGTCAGCCTGGCCCCCCGCTGCGTCCCGGGCGGGCTCCTCCTGCGTCCTGGGTGAGCTCAGGGCCCCGGTCAGTGGTGTCTCCCCCCTCCCCACCACAGGGGTTCTGGTGCTGCTGTCGCTGGGCTACCTGACCTCGCTCTTCTACTACATCCCCAAGGCCGCGCTGGCGGCCGTCATCATCATGGCCGTGGCCCCGCTGCTGGACACCGGGATCGCCCGCACGCTGTGGCGCGTGAGGAGTACGTGGCTCCTCATCTGTCAATGCGAGGTCGCGGCAGCCCTGCTGTCCCCGACCACAGTGCCAGCTGGAGCTGGAGGCTCACGTGGTTCTGGGAGGTGTCACCCCAGGGTCAGGGGTCAGGCCCCGAGAGTGCCTTCAGCCCCTGCAGGGGTGGGCGTCTCCCCTCCTCCTGTCCCCCCCGACCTGACACCTGCTGGAGGAGGCCTCAGCACACCCCTCTCCCCAGGGCTGGACCTGCTGCCCCTGAGCGTGACCTTCCTGCTCTGCTTCTGGGAGGTGCAGTACGGCGTCCTGGCGGGCACGCTGGTGTCCCTGCTGGTCCTGCTGCGCTCCGTGGCCAGGCCCGGCCTGCAGGCACCTTCAAATATTTGTTATCCTCTTTTTTTGTTTGTTAATCCTTACCCAAGGATATTTTTCCATTGACTTTTAGAGAGAGTAGGAGGGAGGAGGAGAGACAGAGAGAAACAATGATGAGAGTGCCTACAACCAAGGTACATGCCCTTGACCAGAATTGAACCCAGGACCCTTCAGTCCACAGGCAACGCTCTATCCACTGAGCCAAACCGGTCAGGGCTCTCACTAGTATTTTAATACCTACTGTGGGCCAAGCACCGTGCTAGGCATTTTCTCATTGTAGAAATACTGGAATCCCCATAGATGGGTTGCTGGCGGCCTGCACTTCCCCGCTGTTGAGGCCCTGCGCGAGGCCGTGACGAGCCGGGCCCTGGGAGGTACGTGGGCTGGCAGGGATGGCTGCGTGTGACGTTCAAGCTCCCCGCGTGCCCTCCGCACCCAGCCTGCTCCCGGGGCCCCAGGCCCTGCCCTCGGTCAGGGAGGAGGTCTGGGCATCCCAGTGGCATCCCCCGGGCCTGACCCCTCACTCCCAGCGCCCAGTGAGGGAGGCATTTCCCCAGCATTGTCTGGAGCACCTGCTCCCTCTCGGACTTGGTGTTTCGGGGGAAGGGAAAGTGCTGTTGTCGCGGCCCCGGACTCCTCCTGCCGGGCCGGAGCTGTCCATAGCCTCGCCGTGCCCATGCCTCCTCCTCGCGGTGTGACTGCCCGCGCCTGTCCCCGCAGCGTCCCCACCGCGCTGCGCGGTCCTGGAGTGCAGCCACGTCTGCAGCCTTGACTACACGGTGGTGCTGGGGCTCCGGGAGCTGCTGGAGGACTTCCGGCGGCAGGGCCTCACCCTTGCCCTCGTCGGCCTGCAGGTGGGCGTCCCAAACAGCCGGTGTTATCACCATCCTCCTGCCGGGACGAGGGTGTCAAGGCCCAGAGAGGCTGAGAAACTTGCCGAAGGCCACACAGCGAGGATGGCAGCCACGCATCCCACTCGGCATCTGGCCTCAGGGCTTTGCTCCTGACCGTTAGGTTCTGTGTCATGTTTGCAAGACACTCGTCTGTGTCCTTTGTACTTATTTAAAAATACTTCTCTTAAAAAAAAACCAAAACTTCTCTTTTCTTAAAATGCAATTTTACTGGAGGCCCAGTGCATGAAATTCGTGCACTGGTAGGGTCCCTAGTGGCTGCCAGCTGCCGGCTGCCAGCTGCAAGCCGGATACTCCCTTTCTTCCCTCGGCCGGCCCCGCCCCCTGGTCGAACTCCCGGTCAAGGGGACAATTTGTATACTGCGCTTTTATTGTATAAGATGATGTCAGAGAGGAAAGAAGAGGAAGAGAGAGAGAAACATCAATGATGAGAATCACTGATCGGCTGTCTCCTGCACGCCCCCTACTGGAAGTTGAGCCCACAACCAGGGCATGTGCCCTGACCTGGAATTGAACCATGACCTCCCGGTTCATAGGTCAATGCTCAACCAGTGAGCCATGCCAGCCAGGCCTAAAAATCTCTCTGAACACCATCCCGTCCCCGTCCCCGGGGGCCTGGTCAGTACTCCGTTTCCCTGAGGG